TCTTGAAAAAAATCTATTTTAAATTCTTTATAAAATTAATATTTTGTAAGCCTTATTTGCCTTGGAATAAATTACAACAAAATAATTTAATTTCAGGAAGTTAAGAGAAAAATATAACTTGGCCGTATAGTAGGTTTTGAGAGCAAGTCGTCATTGAGTAGGTTGTAAGTCATTGACTAAGGTGTGTTAAATTGTATTTCAATGATAAATCATTGTATACCAAGAACTATATTATGAGCAGTGACAAAGTGCCAGCTTCTATTTCTTAGGATATTTTATAACTTATTTATACTATTATTACTTATACATTTTGAGTTTTACTTAATGTTGTCAAAAAAACTTATATATTAAATCATTAATTGCTATAATATATCATACAGTATTGTTATTAACTTATAAGTTATAATAATATAGGTAATGGTGAACAATTTCAAGTTACTACGATTAGTATTTTTAATTTAGGTTCAAGAAAATTAACTAAAATTGTTAACGAAAATTCATTGTTCTTCGTTTAAATAGATATCTAATTTCATAAAAACTTGAGAAGTCTATAATATAAAAAAGATGCGCAGTACCTATGTATGTATTCAATATTTTTAAATTGTTTTAATAGATAAACTTTTTTGAGGAATTTTTAACTAATTTTTCTAGCTTTTTAACTGAAATAAAAATTGTTATCTACATAAATCAAAAAAAAATTATATTGTGTAATACATGCTATAAATTGCAATGTATTAATATTTTGTGAATATTTCAAGTATTTATAGTAGTTATTAATTTTTATATTAAACAATAAACAAACTCGATTTTGTTAAAAACTATGGTGTTGTGTAACGTGTAAGTACCGGTATTAATAAGCCTATTCTCGTGTTCAATATTTTGTTTTTCGATTATTTTGAAAAGTATTCTTTCTAATGTTTGCTCTCAAAAATACCAAATATATGTGATTTGATACCAGAATCCACTTTTAACGTATTGTTACTGTTCCTAAAGGTGACGTGACACACGAACACACACACAAAAATCTATCGTTATAAAAACCAATCAGAATTGACATTAAAAGTGTTGGCACTTTCGATATAGTCATATAAAGATGAATTTAGAATAAGATAATGAATGGTAATTCCCAAAACGTTTATTAACAAGTACCTACAAGTTCCTACAACTACCTATAGCTATAATACTTTAAATCTATTAAAAAATAAAAACTTTTTTACTTATTAAAAATATTATTTTAAAGACACTATTATCAAAGTAATGATGGTGAGATTCACATATACTAACTCACCCAAGTATATATATATATATATAGCTTTGCCTCATGGCGTAGCATACCGAGTAAAACATTGTATAAATAGAGACAAAAGGGGTCATTTTACGTATAACTATATAGTGTATCATATAATATTTTTTATATACATATATACCTAGGTATATGTGTGGTGGTATACATAACCCTGAAGCGGCGTTATGATCTTCGCTAAATTCTGCATAGGGTAATAACGTCACGGAAAACGCTAGGCTGTTAAATATTGTATAATATTCTCTGTCGTAGTAGTTTATGGCTGCTTTTCCTTTACCCTTTTTTCTTTATCTTTTTCTTGTCTCGACCTCCTCCCTGCAAATAAGGACCTCCCATAGTCTTATATAGTTTCCAAGAGTAAACTTTGGTGGACGCCGCGGCAGTGCGCGTTGCAAGGGGGGAGGGGGGGGGTGTTGAAAAGAAAAATAATACTCCTACCGTCTTTCTTGAATGTGATTCTTACGCACGAAATCACTTACGAAAATCTGTCGGAATATCCTACTTGTTTTACTCTATTTCTATGGTGATAAGATGGAAGGGGGGGGCTATGCAAACCACTTTTTCGAGTGATTACATTTGTAGATACTAGCTGGTACATTAGCTTGCAGCTATTTAGTTGTATCTGAAATATAATTCGGGTTTTTGTTGTAAATTACTGTTTTTCGTTTCTCTATTCTAGACTATGTCAGTAAATATAAATACAATGGAGTGCGTTTCTCGTACGGGCGATTTATGTGTATAAAAATGAGTGTGTTGTTTTCTATTCCAATTCATATTATATTGACTACCAACGTTATTTGTAGTTGTAGTCACTATCGTTCTGCTAAATGTTGTGTCATTATGTAATATTATCCTAGCAGTATCCTATTGTCAATTTGCATCCTGAAATAATATCATGTGTATCTGGTTTAACTTGTAATCAAAGTAAACGTCATGTAGTGTAATATATGTATTTATGTATTACCGTTTGTATGTGCAAATATTAAATGTATGCAAACAAAATATATGTGTATGTGTAAGTGGGCCTTTATATTATATTAAATTGTGGTATACTGGTACCCAACGAATTAACGGAATATTATAGTGATGGGAAATCAATGTTTGGCTTACCTATTTGGTTGTTGTTTTTTATTTTTTTAGTCCATCAATTTGGTGTTAGCGCGAACGCTTTTAGCTTCCATTCTACATTATGATTAAAAACGAATGAAATCAAAGTCATAAGTTAAAAACAATAATCCATGTTTTTTCGGCAAACAACTGAAATTCCATTAAACACGGTGCCAAATATATTGGATATATTCGTGTGAAAAGCTATTAAAAGCTAGGGGCGCGTGTAGAGATTATAGAACCCGATATGGTACTAGCTTTTCCGATCACCGTTTTGCACAAGCCATCGACTTAATTCGACATCATTAAACTTGGCCAACTTAACGAGAAAGTACCGTAGCTTAAGATTTTTTTCAGTAGGTACCCACCATAACCCTCCACCATTACCCTTCTTTTATGTATTTCGACTCAAAGTGTTACTATTGATTCATAGATTTTTTTTTTTTTGTTATAATGCAATGATACATTAATTTAATACGTTAATAATTATATTATGTAATTCCATTAAACATTCTATCTTGGTTTCAATATTACCATTTTGTTTCAGTAGTTTTGTGATATAATACATTTTAATAATTGAAATAATACTTATACATAGACTTAAAATATAGGTAGGTACCTACCTACTTATAGTTTCTGTGAATTATTCAAAATACCAACAATAATAACTTGTATACATTTTTAAATTTCGTACATATTTCGGTTGGATTCTTAGATTATTTATTTTTGTGTTCTCTGCTACGTAATAACAAAACATTTTCGTAGTTTATACACATTTTTATACGATACGCGGTGCATAACAATATCATATTTCAAAGTGATATATCCACTACTTCCGTCAATATAATACACATCTACCTATATGTTTAATTCTTAAAAAAGTATTTATGAAGTTTTTCTTTTGACGCACATCCTCCTGTAGTTGAGTTTATTATATTATATGCCCTGGTAAAAATAACACATTATCAATTTAAAATTGGATATGTTTTTAAAGGGCACGTCATGGAGTAGAACCTAACAAGCTCTCCCGAGTCTAATGTCAATAATAGAGTTATCCTGCGGGAGTAAAGGTACTCGTATAATGTCAGTTGTAACGGTAAAAGGGAATATTATGTAAATGTTGAAACGACGAACAAAACCTATAGGGCTATATTGTAATTGGAGATTAAATTTCACCGGGATGAAAATCTATACATTAAATTACGTCGAAATAATATATTATACCGGTAATGATTTACTCTTGCCTAGTATTGATTTGGTTAATTCATTTCTTGATATTTCGAAAACTTCTGTTATATGATCATAAACGTATAATATAGTGACTACTCAATTAGGTACTTCAAAGTGTTAATTAAAAATATAAAGTTTTTGTTTATAAATAATATTAAGTTGGTATTATATTACCTATTGATGTTAATTATTAAAAAAAAAAAACCATAATTCCTTATAGAATAATAGTAATAACGATATTGATATTATAATTATTTTTAAGTCAACGGTATTATTGAGGAGCATTATATTTTTATAGATTTTTATTTTTTACTTAATAATATGCTACTTGTATTCTTCTGAATATTCCTTATACAATTCGTATAGTCTATAGTCTATACTCTATAGAGACTACGTTTATGTAATTTTTAAGGTATCCTTAAAGTAATTGTATTTTGAAATATATTTTAAAAGACCCTATATTTATTTAAGTTAAACATTTTGAATCATGAAGATGTAAAATTTTCATTGCATACTTGCTTTAAGTATCATTTTATTTTAGTTATATATTTTATCAACTTAAATATACATTAAAAGATTGTTTGAGAGTTGTATATAATATCAGTTTTACTCAGATGTATTAAACAATATTATTATATTAAATAGGTTTTATTGGTTTAATTTGCAACTTTAAAATATGACTAGATATCCACGTAAAACAATGGAGCTGTAGGTACTAACTGGTTCATATTATACGTTTAATGTGTCCGTATTTCGATTTCATTATGCTACCTAATAATAATCAATAATCATATACATGCGTGCTTAGTATAATATGTCTACGTTCATTTCACGAATAGAATGTATTTATATAGTAGGTACATATTAAAATATACAGTATTGTAAATCACTATTTGTTCTTATAATAGGTCTGTAACAAACTGAAAAGTACGTTAGTTATTTTCAAAAAGCCGCTGAATTATGCATTACTTAGTAAACATTTGCAAACGTGTGACGGCCGTAATTTCACCGATAAAGATCTATTTAGTTACTGCGTGGTAATAACATCGTGTATACAACACGCAAATCGTATAAACGCGGTCGCCAGCTATTGGTCGAGGGAAATAAAAGAAATTATCTTCGTCCGCTGCGCGAAATCCTCTCTAGCGCGGCACCGTAAAACGCGCTCGCAGCAGTGGCGTATCCAAAAATCCTGTGATTTATCGCTTTTTAAACCTTGTCCACGCGCGTACATAATATGTTTCTACGCGTATACGATCTACATAATACTAATAATAACAACGGTGACACACATTATATTATATAGGTACCTAAATATAATGATCGCTTTCGAATACGTGACGGCCTTATCCGAATGGGATTAATTTACGACACGGTGGAGCATAGTGCCACGGCCGGCGAGAGGGTGCAGGGGTGGTGAAAACGAAGCAGCGAAGTGCAGTTGGGGCAGGAAAAGCTGCTGCGGGGGACGGTGATGACGCGGGTGAGTGTGGCGAGGCGGACGATGGCGAAGAGGGAATGGACGGGGAGGGGGAGGATGGCGACCGATAACAACACAGGCGGTGGCAGCTGCTTGCGCTCGTCCAGGTGTGAAAGGCGACGGCAGCCACGCGATAACGCCAACAACGCTAAAGGTATTCGACGTGTTTGGCAATCGGCCGCGTTCGCTTGGTTTATCCCGAGTTCTTAAACTCATCCCTCCCCTCCCGTCATCCCTGAGATTGGGTGCATCCCGTAGGAGCTTGTTACCGTGGTATTTGGGTGGTAACGGCGGTGGTTGGTGTGGAAGGGCGCGGGTCGAACAGATTTTTTGATGTCGGAAATGCGTTCGTCTCTCGATGGAGGAATTGTACACCTAGAATCTAAATAGAAACACATTCCGAAACTGCAGCTAAGTAGTTGTGTTGTGTATACACCCCCCATCCAACCTACGAGTCGCACGATCGATCCATGCGACAGTTATAGACAGTCATTTTCAAATGTGTTGAGCAATGTGAGGAATCCGCTGCACATCTCGTACAATCATACGACTACGTCGACGGGGTTTATTTTTCGATAACTCTCAACCGTTTTCAATAAAAAAATAATAATGTGATGTGTTCATCCCGCCCTGTATCGTTGTGATGTGTCAATAATGATTCTGTGCGATTTAATGACGTACAAAATCAAGACATTTTTCAAAAGATTTTTCAATACAATATTTATAAATAAATAACAAAAGTCAATCACAATTCCGCAAAGAAAAATAAGTAGAACGATGTCAAATTATTGAAAATATTGTAACCATCTGGCTCAGTTTATAGGTTCGCACTCTCACTGTCTTTATTAAAATAAGCAATGTTTTATTTTTCAACTTTATTCAATAATTATTTTTTATTATTTTTTTTGTCTTGCAGTTTTCTTATACAGCTTTGTCTTATAAGTTATAACTTTTGTTCATTTTTTTATTTCGTTCGTTGACTCTATTGATTGTTATATAAGCTCAATCGTACACGCAATAATTCCAGCTATCTAGTGTCTTTTCAGTATTACTTATTTGTTTATTACTGTTCAGTGTTCACACGATATTTTTTTTTAGTAGATTTTGTTTTGCATCTTATTTTCACAGAATTACTGTTGTATAATACTGTCGTAGTATTCTAATTGTGGATAAACTGATGACATTGTAAATCACTTTGTAAATGACGATAGTAACTACCTCTGTATAGTGTTATAACTTATAAGCTATAAGCCTATAACTATTACGTTACACATCAATAAGTATAATATTAATTAAATCATGTTTATATTAAACTAGCTGTATATATTCTGACTTCACCCTGGGAAATATAAACAAACATAAAATACGGCACTGTCTATCGGTGTATCTTGGTTTTGGTGTACCTCGGTTCACGAGAAAACCGGCATCGGTGTACCTATGTTTGTGAACTTATTCGACCTGGATGGTCACCTGTGTCGTATTAGATTTAGAACTTGGTATATTTTCAAACGTATGGTCAAACTGTTTTCTAAACTTTTTTGATATCTTTAAAATCAATCTCTGAAACTTTCGTCAAAATTGTTCTTGAATTTTTTGAGTCTATAAATATCAAACATAATATACCTAAGGATATTGCATTTTACTGTAAGTAGGTAAATTTGAATAACATTAACTATAAACTAAATATGTTTTAAATTGTGGCTAGTCCATACCAATTAATTTTTTCTGATGAAAATTTGCTAAAATTGTTTGGTAATGCTGAATTTTAGTTTTTTTTTCTAAAAATGTCAATAAATAATTATTTGTTTGGTCAAAAAGCTTAATTATTAATACAAGGTTCATCATAAGTTTTTATTATAGCTTTTTAAAAATATTAAAGATACATATAGGCAAGAATATTTTTTATAAGCATTTAAAGTTCAAATTTTGACAAAACCACAGTTAATTTGTAGTTCAAAATGTATAAAATATTAAATTTGTATAGCTAAGGCTTGGAAAAAGTAATAATAATACAGGCAATGGGGGGGGGGGCGCTTCAGCCCGTTAGCCCCCCCCCAACTGCTTACGCCACTGGTAATCATAAAAAATAATAAATTGTGATGGTTATCAGGAATACTGATATTTTTGCTATTAAAATCACTGATTTTAATATTATAAGAAAATAAAGATACACGTGGGAGTTGCGCCTGTTATGTCCATACTAAATACCAGTTTATATAGTTAAAATTAAACAAGCTTCTACGTCAGTTTCTTATATATTTTGTATCAATGTACCTCAAACCAAAATTAAACAGCTACAAAAAATAGAAAAAAAAAACAATTTATTTCTAATAAAACAAAATGTTTGCATTCTCATCATTATATAGCAAGACCTAGTTTTTACTGACTTCTTCGATGGCTTTGTCTTAATAGTCAACATCGACATCATTATTAGCTTTCAAGTATTTTATATTTTTGATTCAGAGAGTTTACCTTTACTTTTCTCATTATTTCCATAGGTAGTATGAAATATTATTAATAAAATCCTTCTTATGTTTGTTATTTGAATAATATTAATTACTCCTAAACTTTCTTTCACTTTTGTTGTTCTTTGAAAATCTTTCTGTGAACAATTATTAATCAGTTATATCTTATGCGCTGTGTAAATGACTATTTATTTTGACTAAAAAAAATAAATAATGTAGGTACATGCATTTCATAACGTGAAAAATGTTTTGTATTCTCTACTCACTAAATTGTTTAGTTTTTATTTTTGACGTCTGTATAGGTAAGTATAGTTGTTAATCTTATGTTTCTTATGTTTACCTTATAACTATTTTAAAACGCATTAACTCGATTAATTTAAACTTAAATTACATTGAAACGTTGTAAGACACATTTTATATTTAAGAGATGTATGTACTACATGATCTCAAATATATAGTTAATTACACTTACGTACATTGAAGGTACGTTCTTCATATTTGTTTAATATTTAATAACATTAATACTGCACGTATTTAGCTTTCATGTTTTGTCATACTATCAGAACAACTAAAATGCATCCAAAAACACCAAAATTAAATATTTTGTGTGTACAATTGTACAGTTTTTACATGATCACGACTACTATAATTGTAGCTGTTGAACTTAATTAATAAGGACATTTGGTCTTATCATTAGAATATTTGAACCGAGGAATAATAAAATAAAAGGACTTGGACTACGGGAATCATCATTAAATCATTTTTTAGTATATTTATAACTTAAGTATTAGGCATTAGTAAACCGGTATATTAGCTGGAAAACGCCAATTAATATTGACTAAATGTGTATTTTTGTTCTGGGATTAAGATAAATTACAATTGACAATTAAAATTATACAGTTTTTTAAAGGTGTAGTTTTGTGATGGCAGGTCAACGTACTATAGTCATCCCTACTTCAACCCTATAATATGTTGATTATTTATAATTATAAACCTATTTTCGTCGTATAAATCTGAACATTTATCCATACAATATATTACGAGGAACGTGTAACAATTCGCGTCTATATATTATTATAGGTACGCTGTACTTTTGCTATAATATATAATACCCTAATTTGAATAGGTAAATATTTTGTGCAGGTACCGTGTTGTGTACATGAAAACAACTATATGTCTCCGTCCAAGCCCGTGTATTAACAAAACACATGCTATACGCAGTATTATCATAATTAGACATCCAGGTTTTAAATTTTAATTTACGTAAATTATTTATCACACGATATTCCTTCGTATAAAAAAAGTCTTATCATAATATCAAACTGTCTAGAATTGTAATTTATTTATTTGTTAAGCCTTTCGTGTCTGTAGTACTTTACAAACTATTTTTGTATACATAGATACGTACTTTTTTTTTTTTTGTTATTCGTGAAAGTGTACAGCCAGGGTATTTATGTGTAAAGTGTTAGTACATTTTTTTTTTAGCCAAAACTCCTATTATTATTATTCCTAACGAATACAAAATCGAGTCTTTAAATGTTCGATCAAACAATTGATCGATCACCGATCTCATAGTATTTTGAATTTTTATGGATAAGTTGATAACCGACCAATATTTATTGGAAATAGTCATAAATTATACGATTTGTTTTATTTATTTTTTCGTTCGGAAAATGAAAACAATCACACAATATTTATACGCTTAAAAAAGATACATATTATATATATTTATATTTTAACTATTTTAGTGTACTTTGTGTACGTTATGTGTTTTTTTTTTTTATTTTTGAAAATTTACAATCAGTATTACATGACACAATAAGTAAAATAGATGGCTGACATAACACTATATACATACATAAAAATAACACATGAAACACAAGATGAGGGAAATCATCCATCGATGGTACCCTCCAGTTGTGTTTTAGATTCATTGTTTGTTTACAATAATATCAATAATGCTAGCTGCAGTTACGCGTCATTGGAGTTTTATACAAATTGCATAATAATACGATTCAATGTTTGCATTAAATGCATTGTCCAGTGTACCTATGGCTATTGGAGTTATTGGTTTTACTTTTCCGGGAAAAAAATATTCATTACAATAATCTCTTATTATTTATTTATATCATATATTATGAATTTATGTTCGTGTTGGCTGCTTACACGCTATACCAATCAAAATATATTTGTCAAGTTTAATCGTGTCTGTTTATTATGATCGTTGTATGTTTATAATATTGATCTGTAATTGTTGTCGTTGAAATATTCCCTTTATCGAGGGTGTAAAATAGCCTTTTTAGTTGATTACCCAAAGGGGCGTCGCCAAAACGAATTATACAGTATTAAACTGGTGTTCACGCGGCTGGCAGGTTGTTGTTGGGTCGGCGTCCTCGTATGTTTTACACCAGACCGGTAGTAAAAAAAAAAAAAAAAAACACTGCACTTTTTGGTTTGTTTGGTAACACGGTTCAAATCGATATCCGGTTGGGGGGGGGGGATACGAACGTGTGTTTATATAATATTATATTATAATAAAATTATTATATTAGTCCTCTGCAAACGCCTTATTTATGAGGACCAGATAGTCACTCGACCCAGGGGCCATATTGAATCTGAAAATCGTGTAGAGGGGTGGGTGTCCGAGTGTAAACCCCACGTCCGTTTGTTTTGTTTTGGTTTTTTTTTTTAATGTTATTACACACCGACACCCTCCCAATATTATCCAGTGTGCATATATGGTGTGAGTCA